AGCACAGAGCAGAAAGTTACAGCAGCAGCGGGCAGCAGTTACAGCGCAACAGTACAGCAGCGATACAGCGCAAACAGTTACAGCAGCGCTACAGGAGCAGCAGTTACAAGAGCAACAGCTACAGCAACATCAGAAGCAGCTACAGCAGCAGTAGCAAGAGCTACAGCAGCAACAGCTACAGCAGCAGCAGCAACTGCTACAGCGCATCAGAAGCAGCTACAGCAACAGCTACAGCAGAAAACAGCAACAAACAGCAGCAGCAACAGCTACAGCAGCAACAGCTACAGCAGCATCAGAAGCAGCTACAGCAGCAACAGCTACAGCAGCATCAGAAGCAGCTACAGCAGCAGCTACAACAGCAGCAGCAACAGCTACAGCAGCAAACAGCTACAGCAGCATCAGAAGCAGCTACAGCAGCAGCAACAGCTACGCAGCAGCAGAAGCAGCTACAAGCAGCAGCTACAGCACCAGCAGCAGCTACAGCAGCAACAGCTACAGCAGCAACAGCTACAGCAGCATCAGAAGTAGCTACAGCAGCAGCTACAGCACCAGCAGCAGCTACAGTAGCAACAGCTACAGCAGCATCAGAAGCAGCTACAGCAGCAGCTACAGCACCAGCAGCAGCTACAGCAGCAACAGCTACAGCAGCATCAGAAGCAGCTACAGCAGCAACAGCTACAGCAGCAACAGCTACAGCAGCATCAGAAGTAGCTACAGCAGCAGCTACAGCACCAGCAGCAGCTACAGCAGCAACAGCTACAGCAGCAACAGCTACAGCAGCAACAGCTACAGCAGCATCAGAAGTAGCTACAGCAGCAGCTACAGCACCAGCAGCATCAGAAGTAGCTACAGCAGCAGCTACAGCACCAGCAGCAGCTACAGCAGCAACAGCTACAGCAGCAACAGCTACAGCAGCAACAGACTACAGCAGCAACAGCTACAGCAGCAACAGCTTACAACAGCAGCATCAGAAGTAGCTACAGCAGCAGCTACAGCACCAGCAGCATCAGAAGTAGCTACAGCAGCAGCTACAGCACCAGCAGCAGCTACAGCAGCAACAGCTACAGCAGCAACAGCTACAGCAGCAACAGCTACAGCAGCAACAGCTACAGCAGCAACAGCTACAGCAGCATCAGAAGCAGCTACAGCAGCAGCAGCTACAGCAGCAGCAGCAACAGCTTCAGCAGCACGCCAGCAGCAGACTACACCAGCAGCAGCTACAGCAGCAACAGCTACAGCAGCAGCAGCTACAGCAGCATCAGAAGCAGCTACAGCAGCAGCAGCAACAGCTTCAGCAGCACCAGCAGCAGCTACACCAGCAGCAGCTACACCAGCAGCAGAGCTACACCAGAGCAGCTACACCAGCAGCAGCTACACCAGCAGCAGCTACACCAGCAGCAGCTACACCAGCAGCAGCTACAGCATCAGCAGCTACACCAGCAGCAGCTACAGCAGCAGCAGTTACAGCAGCAGCTACACCAGCAACAGCTACACCAGCAACAGCTACACCAGCAGCAGCTACAGCAGCAACAGCTACACCAGCAGCAGCTACACCAGCAGCAGCTACAGCAGCAGCAGCTACAGCAACAACAGCTACAGCAGCAGCAGCTACACCAGCAACAGCTACAGCAGCAACAGCTACAGCAACAACAGCTACACCAGCAACAGCTACACCAGCAACAGCTACAGCAGCAGCAGCTACAGCAACAACAGCTACACCAGCAGCAGCTACAGCAGCAACAGCTACAGCAGCAGCAGCTACAGCAACAAGAGTAGTAGTAATAGTCAACATATTAGTAAACTTTTAAAGTATCAAGTATTTATATATCAATATTTACGTTTACAATATTTTCACTTACATCTTGCTCCAATATTTCGCTCAATTACAAAAAAATAAGTCATTCGTTAATATACTGACGTGTAACTACGTATGTGGAAGTTGTGTATGTTTTGTATTTTTTTTTTTTTTCAGAAATTTGTCTTTCAGTGTTCAAGATGTTTTTGTAGTGTGTTTATAGCCTGTGTGACATGTTCACAACCTGTGTGAAACACGTTCAAAACCTGTGACACACGTTCACAACCTGTATGACACGTTCACAACCTGTGTGAAACACGTTCAAAACCTATGTGGCACACGTTCACAACCTGTATGACACGTTCACAACCTGTGTGAAACACGTTCAAAACCTATGTGGCACACGTTCACAACCTGTATGACACGTTCACAACCTGTGTGAAACACGTTCAAAACCTATGTGACACGTTCACAACCTGTATGACACGTTCACTCTCAGTAGTATCAGTTCCTAGTAACCAATTACCAGTAAACAGTTACCAGTAGTATGACTCACTACCAACCGCCTGTGTGAATCACTGTTATTCACTGATGTTGCTGCTGACTGTAGCATGTTTGTGGACGCCGCTCACCCCTAGGCTTCACTGGTGAGTCAGTCTTAAGATAGAGAGCAGAGACACAGGCCAGGCGTGGTGCTCCCCATATTTTCCCTCCAATATACGTACTAACCAGCCTACGTGAGTGTTCTTACTCAATCCACGATTCGAACCCCACACATGACATCACAACCTGTGTGACACATGTTCACAACCTGTGTGACACATGTTCACAACCTGTGTGACACATGTTCACAACCTGTGTGACACGTTCACAACCTGTGTGAAACACGTTCAAAATCTCTGTGACAAAAGTTCACAATCTGTGACACATGTTCACAACCTGTGTGACACATGTTCACAACCTGTGTGACACATGTTCACAACCTGTGATGCATGTTCACAACCTGTGACACGCTTAAGGCCTGTGACACATGTTCACAACCTGTGACACATGTTCACAACCTGTGACACATGTTCACAACCTGTGACACATGTTCACAACCTGTGATGCATGTTCACAACCTGTGACACGCTCAGGGCCTGTGACACATGTTCACAACCTGTGACACATGTTCACAACCTGTGACACGCTCAGGGCCTGTGACACATGTTCACAACCTGTGACACATGTTCACAACCTGTGACACGCTCAAGGCCTGTGACACATGTTCGCAACCTGTGACACATGTTCACAACCTGTGACACATGTTCACAACCTGTGACACATGTTCACAACCTGTGACACATGTTCACAACCTGTGACACATGTTCACAACCTGTGACACATGTTCACAACCTGTGACACGCTCAAGGCCTGTGACACATGTTCGCAACTGGTGACACATGTTCACAACCTGTGACACATGTTCACAACCTGTGACACATGTTCACAACCTGTGACACGCTCAAGGCCTGTGACACATGTTCGCAACCTGTGACACATGTTCACAACCTGTGACACATGTTCACAGCCTGACACATGTTCACAACCTGTGACACATGTTTCAAAATCTGTGACATGTTCACAATCTGTGATACATGTTCACAATCTGTGATACATGTTCACAACCTGTGACACATGTTCACAACCTGTGACACACGTACACAACCTGACACATGTTCACAACCTGTGACACGTTTACAACCTGTGACACGTTCACAACCTGTGACACATTCACAACTTGACACATATTCACAACTTGTGACACACGTTCACAACTTGTTAAATACTCGTTCACACCTGTTAAATACTTGTTCAGAGCCTATTGAACACATGTTCACAGTCTGCTAAACACTTGTTCACAGTCTGTTAAACAAACACTTGTTCACAGTCTGTCAAACACTTGTTCACAAGTCTGTTAAACGTCTATTCTTTGTCTGTTAAACATTGTTCACGGTCTTTTAAGCACTCATTCACAACCAGTTACACACAACACTGTCACACTGCGTGACGTGCGTGACACAAGCAGTGTGACACCATCTCTCGTGTGTCTATGTTTACCAGTATACTAAGGAATATAAACATCAAAAGGTACACACTTCTCTTTGGAAGGCTTCCTTATGTTGGCTCGAGGTGGACACTCGTACCACTGAGTCCAACCGGTAAGCCAGCGGTCGCTCTTTTCCACTTCCCCCCCCCCCCCAATATCCCCCTCTCTCCCCCGCCACAGAACTAACGGTACCACTGAAAGCTTCAGCCTCTGACAGCGATCAGTGTAGGTGGTTTTCCCCTTGACGAATAATGCAAAAAATTAGAGGCGGAGGTATGGTAGCCATACAAACACGAAAATAATGATCACCACGAAGAGCACGGCTCGCAGGACCAGGTAAAGCTCGGCATTGTTGCCCCACTGGTTGTATGACCCAGGACAGTCGTACTCGATGTGCGATCTCACGTTGTCTCTGTCGAAAGAGTCGTAGCCCACGCACTTGCCACACAAGTAGAAGAGGACCTGTGAGGTGAGGGCAGTAGCATCCAGGTCAATGGTGGCGGCGACGCCGGTGTTAGAGACGCCACTAGTGATATCGTTGAAATTGTCTCCCAAGAAAGTGCTGAGATCACCACCAGTTCCGCCACTTGCAGACGTAATGCCACCTACGACGCTGCCATCGTGGTGACGAGTGGTCTCAGGCAGGTGGGCAACTGTCAGGTGTGATGAACACTCCACCAAGATCAGCCCAGGGCAGCGGTCATCTTCATGGGCCTCCGCGATGAACGGCCACCGACGATTTAATTCCTGAAATATAAGTTATTGTTTATGTGTAGTACTAAGTCATGAGGATCAGTGTGAGGAGTGGTGGAGGCTAGATCCTCCGTCTGTCATTCATAATACAATCATGACACGTATGTTCTCAAAGCATCACTGGCTATTACCTGCAATATTCCTCCTCCGTATTTTAACTACATTTGCTATAGTGTGCCATTCGTTTCAATATCATTTCCTCCTATTCGTTAGTCTTGGGATGATAATTCTTTTTATATATCAACTTTCACTTTCCGTAATGTATCAAATCATGGAACGGGTGGGGCTTGAACCCATGACAAACGAGTTCTAAAACTCACAAGCCAGTGCATTAATCACTCGGCCAGCTGGTTCTAATAAGGTTCATCGTTCCGTGATTTGTTTGGAATCATGTTACTAATATTTAGTGAGTAACGAATGCGTAATATATAACTTCTCGTACTTTATAAAAGAGAAGTAATTTCGTATATCAAGAAAAGAATTAATGTTCCTTTCCATGTGACTAACCTTTCTGACGAGAGCCTTGTTACAGACTGAGGTGAGGCACGGAGGCTGCACCTTCGGCGGCCTCAGACGACGCAGTGAACACGACCCAACGAACCTGCAGGAGTCCATATTGTGAATGCAGGACAGCAATACCCACCACATCCTTGGTCCTCCACTCTAATTAATGTTTTATGTTAGACTAGCCAGCTGACAACTCTTACTGCACTTATGTTCAAACTAGTTCTTTATAGTGACCACTATTAAGTGCTGCTGCACAGCACAATGTTGTCATGCTTCCATTGTCAGTAATTGGTATGAGTTGCTCCATTTAACAGTCCCCTGTTATAAGTGGATGTTAAATGGAGGAATCTTATCGAGTGACATCATATAAGAGTTATCTGCACATGAACAGAACAACTTAATGGCTCGGAGCGGGCAAGCAGATGTAGCTAGTGTAGCTAGATGTGTTTTAGAGAGGCTGCAAGCTCACCTGAACCTTCCTAAATAAAGCAAGAAACAAAGCTTAGCCCATTTCTTCCCATCAACAACCCGTCGTTGTGCTCGGATATCACTCAGGAAATTTCCAGACACGGTGGGGTAATTTGAGACGTACAGAATTTTAAAAGAGTAAAGTAAACAGAAACATTGCCATCTTGTGAGTGACTTAAGCC